GTATTTGGACCTTAAGTCTATGTACTGGTAAAAATCTCTAAAATTTTTATTTGGCATAGCTAAAAATATACTTAGTATTAATATGCTCTAATACATACACTGTATTTAAAACATTGACTATTTGGAAAGTTGTAATCCATTTTCTAAGTTTATCTTAATCTAGTATCTTTGTAGGCGATTAAAGTTTCTACCACCATTTATATATATATTGAGTCCTGCTATTTGGTCCGGCAATTAAAAACCTACCGAGTTTATGTAGCCACCCATGTGTCAAATATAATGTGATCCATTTTAAAATAGAAAAATTATATTTTTGACGACTTTAATACCCGACTTAAAACCAACAGACGTAAAAATATCATATTCTTTTTCTTTTTCACATAAGTTTTATGATACTTAAATTTAATAATTTGATTTGTACAAAATTTAGAGCAAAAATTGTAATGTTTTATAATTTTTTCATGAATTTGCAATTTTTAAAAAAAATTCTCTTAGTCTCTTTGTTTTTGGGAGTTAGATAGATTATTAGCTTTGATCATTATAACAACTAACAAAAGCCTATCAAAGTAAATGAGGGATATTAATGATAAAAAATACAATCTTATGTCAATTGTCCTTACATAGATGGAATTTGAAATATAAAGCAAATATACATATACATGGTAGTTGAAACTTTAATTGCCAATAAAAACACTAGATTAACATAAACTTAGAAAAAAAATTACAACTTTCTAAATAGTTAATTATCTTATATTTTAAAATGGGTTCCATTATATTTGACACATAGGTGGCCACATAGACTCGGTAAAGATACCTTATATTTTAAAGAGTATTTGGCCCGACAAATAAAAACATACTACTTTAAAATATAAAGTAATTGACTATTTAGAAGGTATAATCATTTTTCTAAGTTTATCTTAATCTAATATCTTTATTGGCAATATAAGTTTCAACTACCATGTATATACATATTTGTTTTATATTTCAAATTGCATATATGTAAGGACTATTGAGATACTTGAGATTGTATTTTTTATCATTAATATATATCTATTACTTTGATAGGTATTTGTTAATTGTTATAATGATCAAAACTAATGATCTATCTAATTCCCAAAAACAAAGAAAATAAGAGAATTTTAAAAAAAATAAATAAATTTGCAAATTCATAAAAAAATTATAAAAACATTGCAGTTTTTGCTTTAGATTTTGTACATATCAAATTATTAAATTTGAGTATCATGAAACTTAAAGAAGAAGAAGATGATATGGCTATGGAAAACTGAAATTATAATGAAAGGGAAAGTGAGTATTTTATGGAAATAGTAATAATGGTTATTTAAATTGAAATTTCGAATAACCACGTCAAATTTTTATGTCTGTCCATCGGTTTTAAGTCGGGGTATTAAAGTCATCAAAAATATCATTTTCAATGTATATTTGTTTTATATTTCAAATAACAATACTTAAGTCCTCACCAGTGAGGATTTACATCATATAACGGTTGGTGTGGATAAAAAATAAATAAACATGTCATCTTTAATTATCAAATTCAATATGGTGGGGTGAGTATTATTGGTCCGCATCAACATTGAGATGATGTAGACCCTGACTAGTGAGAAAGTATTGTAATACTTAGGTCCTTACTAGTCATGATCTATATCATCTCAATATTGATGTGGACAAAAAAATAAATAGACATGTCATCTTTAATTATCAAATTCAATATGGTGGGGTAGATACCCACTTATTAAATCAGAGATGGTGATTCGATTACCATATTTAATTTGGTAATTAATATAGAATATGTTTATTTATTATTGGTACACATCAACAGATGGTGTAAATCCTCACTCTAACTATTGATGTGGACAAAAAATAAATAGACATGTCATATTTAATTATCAAATTCAATATGTCAGGGTAGATACTCATTTACCAAATCAGAGATGGTGATTTGATTACCATCTTTGATTTGGTAATTAAAATAGGATGTGTCCCTTTATTGTTGGTTCACATCAACAGTGAGATGGTGCAGATCCTCACTACTAAGGACCTAAGTATTGTTTGCATGTGTTAGAGGCCAAAAATAAATTGGGATGTAAATGAAAGTTAAAACTAAAATATTCATCTAAGTGAAAAATGGTCTAACTCCAAGGGGTGCTGATGTAATTTATCCGAAAATAATAAATAATTCTACAGTCGAATTACTTGGAAAATTAAATTATTTATTTATTAAATAGAAATCTGGTAGACTATGAGAGTTAAACTCTCCTCATCCCTTCTTTTTAGAGCTATATCACTTCTGATCCACAAATGTAAGACAAACTCAATGTATTAGAAAGTAATATAGTATACATACAAAACAAGAGAAAACTAATTTGCATAGAAAATATGAGATAAAAAGGGCAATCAAAATAAATATGGAATAAGTTTATTATAATTTATTTTAAATATAATATTACAGGAGAGAGGGCAAAAATTAAAAAAAGTGAGTTGTTGATGTGATTAATCCCATTTATACATAATTAAGGAGAAATATGTTGATGATTAGAGCTTAACCAAAATGACAATGATATCATATCTTCTTTCTAAATTTAATTGTTGGTGGTTCAAATTCAATAACACAATAATAGAGACTTATTTATGTTATCTATATAATTTTAAAAAGAAATACATACATATATATATATATATATATATATATATATATATATATATATATATATATATATAAAATCCCTTTCAAAGCCCACTTCTAACTCCATACTTCACATATTCTTTTAGAAAACATAAATTTTTATTAGAAATTGAGAAATAGTTTAACAACTTAAACTTGAAATTCGAACAACCAATGTGTGGCTATTATTGAATTTTATCGTGAATTTTACAAGCTCTTCACAATCTCACGCTTGATTTCGACTTTTGTACGTACTCCCCGACATGTTTGAACTTTTAACTTTTCTATAAAGAGATGTTATAGATATTATAACATTTGAACCAATGCTTATTAATCTCACAAATTTAATTAGATTGTATTCTTATCGTCAACATTAAATAAAATAATAAGGAGTGCTAATTGCAGTGGTGGTTAAGATCGGCTAGTTTTAAATGCATTAATTACTTGAATTTCTATTTTTATAAGCTTCTACGTGCAAATATTATTTTTTTAGACAAAAATATCCTTTTAAATTATATACATGCAAACATTATTTTTTTAGACAAAAATACCCTTTTAAATTATCTAGTATTTCCTCTTCTCTCCTCATTTAATCGATTCATACGAGGATGTGACTTTAGATAGGATAATTCATTCAGATGAATGGATTCTGAAAAAAAAAATCTAAAAATTCCGAAAATAATAAAAAGAAAGGTAAAAAAAAAAAAAAAAAAAAAAGGGAACGAGAAAAGAATCTATATGTACAAGATGGATTCTGATATCCATTATATAAATTTTCTTACATCTATCATTGAGTGAATAAATTCTTTCATTTTTTTTTTTTTTTTTGTTTTTTCCTATATATATATATATATATATATATGTTTCTTTTTGTTTTTATTTTTTATTTTTACAACGTATAAATGGATTAAAAAAAATAATAATAAATAAAATAATTCATTCACCATGGATAGTTGTATAAAGAAATATATATGTATATAAAAATAATTTTATATATATTTTTAAAATCTCAAAATTTATTTATTTTTCGGATTTTTTTCTAGCTCTTTTTTTTTTTTTTTTTTTTTTCCCTCATTATCCATTTCGTGTGAATGGATTATCCTATCAAACTTTTTTTTTTCCCCCTCATAATCCATCTCCTGTGAATGAATTATCCTATCTAGCCCTTTTTTATTTTTATTTTTATTTTTTTTTCAGCATCCATTCACATAACATTACTCGAGTTTCTATTTTCATGGTGTTCTACAAATATTACCTTTTTAGATAAAAATATCCTTTTAAATTATCTAGCCTTTCTTCTTATCCATATGAGGATGTGTGCATGTGTATATGTGTGTGTATATATATACTATATAATAACTAATGTTATGTAAATGGAGGATAAAAAAGTTAGATAAGATAATCCATTCATACGAGATGGATTACGAGGGGGAAGAAAAAGTTAGATAGCATAATCCATTCACAAGAGATGGATTATAAGGGAAAAACAAAAGAGCTAGAAAAAAATAAAAAAAATAAAAGATTCTGAGATTTAAAAAAAATATACAAAATTAGTTTTATATACATATATATTTCTTTATACAGCTATCTATATTTTTTTCCCTTTTTCAGAATTCATTCACATAACACTAATTACATCCTCTATATGGATCCATTAAAGAGGAGAGAAGTAGAAAGACTAGATAATTTAAAAGGGTATTTTTGTCTAAAAAAGTAATATTTGTAAAGTCTCATAAATAAAAACTCAAATAATTAATACAATTTAAAACTAACCAATCCTAACTATGACTGTGAATGGACAGTCGCTTGCGTGACTGCAATTAACACTCCTCCTTAAAACAAACCAATCCCTGTCTTGTGAAAGGAGGTCCCTTGCGTGACTACAGTTAGCACTCCTCTAAAATAATACTAATAAAAGTTTGATTTTCCACACCTCCATGCATAATTTATTATTAGAATTGGAACCTATTCAGAAATAGATCAGAAGACGGCGACTTCTTTGAAAAAAGAGTTGATTTTTTTTGAAAAAGAAGCTGGAAGTAATAATAAACAATAAAAAGATTTCGAATTTCCACAAACACATGAATAATTTACTATTAAAAATAGGTCCTATTCGGAAATAGTTCAAAAGATAATGATCCATTTGAAAAAAAGAGCAAAAGACGGTGACTTGTTAGAAAAAAAGAGCAAAGGACTAGAAATATCCTCGAAGTCCTCACCTCGTCAGCTTCGAAAGGACGCAATAACCGCCGAATCGAAGGACGTTATCTTGAGCAACGACCACTAGTAGCCTCCCCACGGCGGAGCCACCACGTGTCATTCAAAACCTCCACTGACATCAGATATCTCATCTGACACTATTCGCTTTCTCTCTCATCACTCCCATTATATATATCTATCTACGCATATTCGTCTCATCCACTTGTACTTCATCCGAAGGTTCGTTTCAGCCCCTCTCTATATATAGTAATATATTTTAATCATACACCAATATATATATATATATATATATATATAACCCTAAATATTGATTTGTAAACAGGAGTGATCGATCGGAGTTGAAGAGGACTCGAGATGGACCACGCGGCGGACGCTTACCGGACCGATTTGATGACCATCACTCGATACGTGCTGAATGAGCAGTCCAAGTATCCGGAGTCTCGCGGGGATTTCACCATCTTGCTCAGTCACATTGTTCTTGGTTGCAAGTTCGTTTGCACTGCTGTTAACAAGGTTTCTCAAGTTTTTTAATTTAAAAAGTGTTTCAAATTGATTTGAGTGGTTTAGTTTTTTTATATTCTTTATGTTTTTCATATGTTTTGATATGGACAATTGTGTTTGGTAGGACTTAGGATGCATATTATGCACTACAATGTGTTATGTATCTTTTTGTTTTACTAATAAAAAATCATAGACCTGCTTGGTTTAGTTTTCAAGAACTCAAGAAACAGAATGGTTCTTTGAAATCTGCAACCTAACAGCTTTTGTGTATAATTTTTTTGATTTTTAGTTATCTGAAAACTGTTATAGAAAATTGAATCAAGCAGGCGTATACTTCTGATTAAATGCAATTGGTATGTGGGTTTTTTTAGAAAACAAAATGAAAGTGAATGCTAAAAAAAGAAAAAAAAAAAACAAAAAACAAAAACAAAAACAATTTTCTTAGTGTTTGAGGGAAAATATCTAGTTCCCATTCTTATATACGTATATAGTTCACGACTTTATGTCAAGATTATACTTTATTTTTGATTAATTTTATGTTAATGTTTATTTGTCATAGAGTTTCGAGGCTTCAATTTGATTTTGCTTTAATTAAAATGTTTACAGTACAATTCATGCTTACTATGTCAGGGTTTATTATGTTATAAATTTGGAATTCTACATACTTGTTTTTACTAGTAAAATATTTTTCGAATTCTTTTGATGCTCATTCACATTTGATTTTCCTCAATTCCACCCAAGTGTCCCTCGCGTGGTTCGATGTCATGGCTTCAATTTTATTTATCAAATGATTATTTGGTTTAATAGACATTGTTTCATGTTCCCAAGCATTTCCGTAAAATTTCTAAGTTGTTTCTATATCCCTTGCATTTGCAAAATGTTTCTGAAACATTTCCTTTTCCAAGCCAACTAAAACAGTAATTCGAAATAAAATTTTAATCTTTGCATGTGAGTGAGCTAGAGGTTAGACCTCCACTTTGTCCACCTCTCACAGTGGTCCAGATTTAATGGACCACAACTGGGTAATGGATACTTATGCAATGTGTATCTTTGTGTTTCAATTTTGTCATTTCCCTTTTTTTCACTATTCTCAACTTTTTGGAGCAAATGAAAATGTAAATTCAGGGTAGGCTTTAAAATCATTTTAGATTCTGTTTGGTTGCCAGGAAAATGGAGGAATAATTTGTTGAAGTTTGATATTTTTTGTTGTTTAATTCATATGAAAGCGAAATAAAGAAACTTTGATCTGCTCTACCAAAATCTTATATGGAACTTAATGGAGTTGATATTTTCAGTTTTTTTTGTGAAAAAGGAGAATTACTGATCTTCAAATTTTCCTTTTCTTTTTTTATGGTCTCACAGCAGCCTGAATTATTGAAGAAATAATCATTTTATTTTATTTTATTTTTCAATCTGTCCTGCAAAAAAAGTTTAAAGAAAATGTTAGTTCTTAGAAAAGAAGCTTCAAAGTTAAATCTGTAAAAGTTTAATGAAATTCAGGAAGATCTTCTTGAACAGGAAATGATTCTAAAAAGAAAAAAGTTATGGTCCTGTATTTTATTTTTTGTAATATCTGGGCAGAAGAATGCTGTTGTTGAATGTTAATTGTTCAGTACCTCTACTCATCTGAAGAAAGGTTTGTCCCAATTATCCGGGGTCTACATAAATCATATTTCACCGTTATGCTCTCTCAATTGCTGCGGTTTTATTTTTCAGTTTTTTTCTTACTTGTAAAAGTGTGATTGTGCAGGCGGGTCTTGCCAAACTCCTCGGACTTGCTGGTGAAACCAATGTTCAGGCATGTTGTTAAGCAATTTCATAATAATATGGTGCTTTCAATTTTTTGTTTTATTACATCGAATTGTTCTTCTTTTGTGATATTCGTATGAGGTTATTTGTCTGTTTTGACATCAGGGCGAAGATCAGAAGAAGCTGGATGTGCTTTCAAATGAAGTTTTTGTCAAGGCTTTGGTCAGCAGTGGCCGGACAGTAGGTTACTGCAAACCTTTTAATGTGTATTAGTGGAAAAAGTAATGATATTTTCTTAAATGTTTGAATCTTCTACTAGTGCATACTTGTCTCTGAAGAAGATGAAGAGGCAACATTTGTGGAGCCATCTAAGCGCGGAAGGTGTCTGCTGATGCTCTCTTTTATTAGACAGTTTTCCGTTGATCTTCTATTTTGAAATGTTAAATGGATGAAATTTGTATTGTTTATTTAGTATAAAGTTTCTGATGAACTCGTCCTGATATTGCAGGTATTGTGTTGTTTTTGATCCGCTGGATGGATCTTCTAACATTGATTGTGGCGTTTCGATTGGAACTGTATTGCTTCTAATCTGAAAATATGCTATTGCTTTAAAATTATTGTGATTGACTCTTGTACCAATGAAAGTTTTTAAGAATAAGTTGACACTGTAGTGATCAATTGGATGTCTTATCATTTGTCTAGATTTTTGGGATTTACATGGTGAAAGAAGGTGGAGAACCAACTTTAAAAGATGTGTTGCAACCTGGGAAGAATATGGTAGCAGCAGGCTATTGCATGTACGGAAGCTCTTGCACGGTATGAAAAATTACCTTCTTTGTGCATTTGATGCCCAATTGTATGTCAGGCAACAAAGCAATTTATTTCGTAATGACTTGTTCTGCTCCACTCTCAAATCTGTCTTCTTGTGATCTGTTCAGTCATGATGCGTGTGTTTTAGAATGATAAACTTCCCAATATTAAGCCCTTTTGGTAATTGATCAGTGTTCCGTGTTCGTGAATTTTTTAGTCTTCACGCTGGAATTCCACTCCGTTGTGATTTGGCGAGAATGGTTTTGCAGCTTGTGTTGAGCACTGGAGGTGGCGTTAATGGATTCACCCTGGATCCATCTCTTGGGGAATTCATACTAACCCATCCTGATATCAAGGTTAGTTTTTCGGTTGACTCTTTCATAAATTCGAAAAAACGGTCTGTTTGATAAAAATGCTAAGATGGTTTATAATGTTAAGAAGAAACACAGGAGCTTTTTATCAATGTGCTAAATTACGTGAAAGCTCTGGTTGTTGTGGATTACAAAGAAGATGGTTTCATTGAATATCAGTATTTTATATATCAACATTTTTGGGATCTCGATATATCAATTTGTAAAAATATAATAACTTTCAGCAGATCCTCTTCAGTTGAGAGCGACAAGCTGACCTTCATTTGCATTGGTGCACATTGCCCTTGTCATCAGTTCTGCAATTTCATCTTTTACTACAATATCCACAAGTTTACTATTTATTTGTAGCATGCTTCGAGATGAATTATATTACTATAGGTTTTTAATGGTTTCAGAGTGGTCATGTATGTATTGTTGACTGAGATGCAAATATGCATTATTTTGGATATGCATATATTTTCTTATATCATATCTCCATTGTACGTTTGAGTGCCCTGGTTTATGTATTTATTGTACGCCTCTTCGCATAGATTCCAGCGAAAGGAAAGATCTATTCAGTAAATGAAGGAAATGCAAAGAACTGGGATGCTCCAACAGCAAAGTATGTACAATTCTATAGTTAATTCTTCTTTTCTTTTAGTTATGTGGTACTGACATTCTTTGAATTACAGTTATGTGGAAAGGTGCAAGTTCCCCAAAGATGGTTCGTCCCCAAAGTCTCTGAGATACATTGGAAGGTACTTGGAGTTTGGACTTGGAACTATTTCCAGTGTTTGAATTGTTCATTTAGTAATTGGATTTGTCTTAAGGTAGATAATATGGCTCTATTAAATGACATACTCTGTAATATATGAAAATTAAGTAAACATTAAGACTAAATCTTGCATCGGCATCCCATTACTGCACTGACGGTTTTCGTTAGTCATAAAATAATTATCAAAATCTTGTTGGATTAGTAATATTGAACCAAATTCGGCCTTCTTAATATTGGGCTCCAAATGAATTAACCGGTAAGTCCTAAGTTATCTCAGTTATGAAACACTCATTACAAACCATTTACTTGGGGCAGTTTGTGATGGGAGGGAATCTGTGCTACGCACAATCTGCACCTATTCTAGGCATAGGCGCAATATATAATTTTACTAATTTTTGGTCCTCAGATTTTATGAATATGTTTAGTATTTTTCTTATTGGTAGTATTTATCTTTATCTTGCATATATGAAAGGTCGTTTTGTAATGTGAATACTACAAGTATTGTTTTAGAGAAGAAATTACAAATTTCCTTCTTTTAACAATTTCTTCCTGTCTTCACTTCTCTTCTCTCACATTTTGGCATTGTCCTCTTCTCTCTCTATATATTTTCTCTTCTTATTCCTTTCTTTCCCCTCCTGCTGCATCAGTTTGGCTTTGTTCTGGATCAGGTTTTGCCGTCTCTAGAATGATGCTTATGACTTTGACGTTATACCTTTAAGAAAATTACAAATATTCTTATATACTCACCAGAAGCATGCTTCTCTCTTTATACTCTTTCCTTTGTCCGTCGCTACTAGTAAAATTATTGTAGATGAGCATGCCACGACAACATTCCACGTGGCACTATTTTTGAAATATTACACCTAGTCAGTGCTGATTGGACCATGCCAATACCTGCCTGGCATTCCTCTGAAAGGATCAAGTGATCTCGAGCTACTTGTCCTAGAATCACGAATACTGTACGAGGAAGGGGTCGCCACCCTTCTCTCTCCTGTGGAGGTACCCCGCCCTAGTAGGATGGGTCCCACCTCTTCTACTATCCTTGAAGCTCCCTCCTGCATATGGAGCTTTGAACCTAAAGAAATACCTCCCACCTCGAGTCTACTTGATTGCAAGGCTCTGGGTGCAGAGCTAAGATGGAGACTCGGGGAGTCTAGAAGGTAGAGCTCCAAGGGATCCCTCTTCTTTATCTCTGGTCTCGGGAATCTGAGGTATAGCGGATAGGCAGCTGGGATCTAAGGAGGCACCTCGCTGCGAGGTTAGCACAAGGGGGAGAGGATGTTTGTTACCCGAGGTCGAGCTCCTAATAAGAGACGGACGGCGCATTAAATGCCCCAACCCTTCAGCATAACCCGCATTAAATACGGGACATCATTACCTCCTCGAATCAAGGTACAAGTCGTCTCGGGCCCCCTACCGGTGTCCCATCTGTCAGGAGGTAAGGTCATTAAACCTACGGGCAAAAGAGGAACTATCCTTGAAACAGGAAGTCCTTGACCAAAGGAACAGGTAGTATAAATAAGAGCAGTAATCAGTCATTAAAGAATGGACCGAACATAACTGACCGACTCAACAACTCTTGAGCTCGAGCTACGTATTTATATTTGCCTTCCCTCTCTTAATTTCTATAAAAGGAGAATCTCTCGTGTTGACTTGGACATTAATAACCTCAGCATTCTTGATCTACGTGGAATAATCTCCTCATCTCGTGAAGAACTTTCATCAACAACTATGAAATTTACTTTGCTTTGCTAAAATTGCTGTATATTGTTGGATATTTGTTGAACATGATATGATATACAAATATAATCCTCTATTTCTAATTTTTGTGGTCTGCAGCATGGTAGCTGATGTTCATCGCACATTACTTTATGGGGGTATCTTTTTGTACCCTGCTGATAAGAAAAGCCCCAATGGAAAATTGCGGTATGTTACGTACAAATTTAGAAAGAAATCATAAGATTTTATTTTTTGAAATTACAAACTACAGAAGAAGAAAAATTCTGACTAAATATGGTGCAACTGTTATGGAATAGGGTCCTCTATGAAGTCTTTCCGATGTCATTCTTGATGGAACAAGCTGGAGGTCAATCATTTACCGGCAAGCAACGGGTATTGAGTTTATGAACTTTTGATTATTCAACATACATAAATTTCTAGTTTTGTTATTTTGTCTGATTAGTTTAAAAAGCCTTCCTTCTTGCTTGTTTTTTGTGAAGCCTTCAATGCACTTAAAATGATCTTCTATCCATAGAGAACTTGAAAATTGATTTCATTATTCAGCCCTTGTATAACTAGATTTCCTATTAAATGTAAAATTTATGTGGGCTCAAACTTGGATTTAAAACAACTTAAGGCCCTGGAAATTAGTTGGACATTAGATTCCGAAGCTCTATTCTAGTTTTTTTGTACTCAGATTGAAACTTAGAAGAACTTGTAGCACATCTTTAAAGCACTTTTCTAGCGCTCAAACTGCCAAAATTTCATATCTGTGGTATATTATCAAATATTTAAACAATTCTCTTGTCAGGCACTTGACTTGGTTCCAGAGAAGATACATGAACGATCTCCAATATTTCTTGGAAGTTATGATGATGTCGAAGAAATCAAAGCACTCTATGCTGCTGAAGAGAAGAAAGAATGAGTGTGTTAACCTTGTTTTTACTTTACAGTTGTGCAGGTGCTAGACCTAGTTGCATTTTATATTCATAAAACAACACATTCCATTAAGTTTTACTTGTAATGACATACTGTGATTTATTTATGAAAAAACAAGGTTGATGTTTCCGTTGATATTGAATCATAACTAAGATAATGCTTTGGATGAACTGAAGAATGTAGGCATATATATATGTAAGCATGTCTGTAATCTGATGAGCATAACCAATGGGGGCATTAGCTCAGGTGTTATGATCTCTCGTCCCCAAAGGATAGGTTGAGAGTTCGAGTCACATTAGGGGCAATATTGTGGTTGTGTGCGTTTGCTTAAACTTTTGAGGAAAAAAACCCGATGTGCAGGCATAATCTCTATTTCATTTTGGCTCTGGTTGTCATGATGGGGTTTCAGGGGATGGATCCGGGGAGAGGATGGCAACTCTGTGTTTTCTTCTGTGGGGGTCCAGAGGCAATGGGGGAGTTGCCCTCCCCTTTGCGTCGACCCCAAATGGCCAAGCCGGGTTGAATTGGAGGTTTAATTCCAAATCTCTGGTATGACTACCAAGAGAATTTTATTAGTTAGTACCTTCAACTATAGCTTTTCATGGCTTTTTTGCCGGTGATGGTGGACCACTAACACCTTCAACTTCAATCTACAAAAAAAAAATAAAAAAAAAAATCAAATGCTTGTCATTTTAATGCAATAGAATTTGTAAATTTTTTTTCTAAGAAATGTTTTAAATATTAAATTTCGAGTGCATATGAACCTATGGTTTTAGTAGGAAAAAAAATTAGTCTTATGAACATATGGTTTTAGTAGGAAAAAAAATTAGTCTTACACTAGTTGCCCAGGGTTTTGCAGAAGCAAGGAAAAGGAAATGCGAACTTGGAATCTCAGCACAAAAGTGGGTACAAACTTTGGCAAGAGATAAGCCTGCAAAAACATCCTTCTTTACACACACACCTCCATTATATTGAATTTTTTTTTTTTTTCTTCTTTTAGGTAAATTGTATTGACACTTTGAAATTTTGGTCAATGTCACGTAAATGTGAGTTAATAAATTTTTGGACAATGACACATTGGAAGCTTCAAATGTCATATTTATTCTGATTATTTAATTTAATTAATTCACGAAATATCAGTCCTATTAATTGACATGACTACCCCTCTCTCCCCTAATCCCTAAACCAACCTTTTTGTTGGTTCCCCTTTTGTTTACTCCCCTTCTCACTTTGTAATATTCTCTCCCTCTTCGACTAATCCCTCTCTGTGGAGGGAAAAAAACTCCCTCCAATAAGAAGCGCACACGTCACCACTACCCATATCTACATTCCAAGGACATATAAGGCCCATCATGCTTAAGCCCAAATTGAGGGTATTTACAGCCCAAGACCATTGTTAGTTATCCTCCAACTTCCATCAAGGCCGAATCAAGAAGTCATCAGCCCAGCTTGTCGTCAGCCCAGCGTATGAGTATTTAACATCCGGCCTGTTACCCAAGCCCAGCCGGATCAAAATATATTCAGCCCAAGAATGCGCAAATCCTACCATTTGAAGGATTTACTGTATAAGGAAAATTTGGATAGGAAGTTCTGTACAAGGCAATTTCTATGTATGGAAGATTCAACAATGGAAAGAGCTCTATTAGAAAAGAATGGTTATATAGAAAGAATTGGAGGGCAAGCAACGCGAGTCCTACCATAATTTTGCAATCTTTTGTATATAAATAGAGGCTAAGACCTCCAATAAAGGATCAAGCAATTCCACACTTCTCTATACATTGTTCTTATTTATTTTTATTGTTTTTGAGTGAGTTGTTTTATTTTTCTCAGTCATTATTGGTTGAGCGAAATTTTGCACCTACACTCTCCCTCTCTGTAATCTATGTTGTTGTCATAATTCTTGCCACGAGATAAATATCTTGATACCATTACTTTTCAAATAAGATATCTAGATCAAATAAATGAGCTTAACTTAGAGTTGCGGTAAAATAAATAGTCTTTTCCAGGTAAAAAATAGTCTTTTCCAGTTACACTCCTCACTAAAATCTTGTTTCAATCCAACTACTTGTGTTTGTCATGGATGCAAAATATTATTTCTCTTCCTCTAACACAAGTATTCAATTAGCAAAAACACTTCATATTAACAATGCACTTCTCAAACTTACAGAATGCTATTTGTGATTACGCATAATAAATATGAAAAGGAAATCTAATCCATCAGAATCTCAAACTTACAGAATGCTATTTGTTGATGTAAGATTAATTTATTCCCTCTTTAATTATTAGGGACAAGTAAATAAAACCTCCTTAAGTTATATTTCTCGTAGCACTTTTATTTCCTATTTGAAAAAGTATGTAAAAAATATCATAATTTTTTTTACATTGTGCAAAAATACCCTATTTGACAAAAAATAGTGTTATAATACCCGTTTTGTCTTTTACTCTTTCGAAAATGCTGAAGGGTACTAATCTCATAATACAGTAGTGTTATGTTTACATTACCTTATATATATTTTTTTAAAAACTTTTTTTTTCTACATATATCTCTAAACATTTTTTTTTTTTTTTTTTTTTTAACTTTGAGAATTTGTAGAACAAGGATTTTGTAATGAATATATGTGTATATATATATATATAGTAATATTTATGGGAGAAACATTCACAGAGAGAGAGAGAGAGAACACGAAATAGAGAGAGAAAATGCTTTTCATTAAAATGTGTCTCCAAATGGTACGCACACATGGCCTTATATAGGCTTGGATTTTGGCTTTCACTGTAAGGCTCAAATGGAGCTTCCACTATAAGACTCCATTGTGATCTCATGGATGACATAAGATATTTGGGGACCCCACACACATTTATGAGATATATATAACACTCCCCATTGGGGTCCACAAAACTACACTAAGAATATGCCTCGTTAAAACCTTACTAAGAAAAACCCAGTGGGACAAAACCCTAGTGAAGGAAAAAGAGTACAGTATTCTTGTGTATGGTATTGCATAGATTAAAACTGCCTCATTAAAACCTTCCCAGGAAAACCCAGTGGGACAAAACATAGATGAAGGAAAAAGAATACAGTATGCTAATACCTTTTCGATCACTTGCTCCCCCTCATCAGTTCAACCCTGAAGATCCTTTAGTTGACGCATTCCAATGTTGTCCACTAACTTCTTGAATGTTATAGTTGGAAGCGCTTTAGTGAATAAATCTGTTAGATTATCACTCAAGCGTATCTACTGAACATCAATATCACGGCTCTTCTGGAGCTCGTGTGTGGAAAAGAATTTTGGTGAAATGTGCTTGAATCTGTCACTTTTTATGTATCCTCCTCTTACCTGTGCAATATATGATGTATTATCTTCGTATAATATTGTTGGACTATCTCTGATTGAGGAGAGTCCACATGATTCTCGAATATGTTGTATAACAGATCTCAACCAAACACACTCTCTACCTGCTTCATGAATTGCGAGTATTTCAGAGTGATTTGAGGAAGCTGTAGTCATGGTCTGTTTTATAGATTGCTATGATATAGCAGTATCACCATAAGTAAACAAGTACCCTGTTTGTGATCGGGCTGTATGTGGGTCAGAAAGATAACATGCGTCTGCATATCCGATCAACTGGGGCTTTAATTTTCTTGAATAAAACAACCCAATATCAGTCGTTCCCCGAAGGTAACGCATAATGTGTTTGACCCTATCCCAATGTCTTCGAGTTGGTATAGAACTATACTGTGCTAGTAAGTTGACTGCAAATGCTATATCAGGTCTGGTACAATTCGCAAGGTACATTAGAGCACCGATTGCACTAAGATATGGTACTTCAGGACCAAGAACTTCTTCGCCTTCTTCCAGATGACGAAAAAAATCTTTCTTAACATCAAATAATCGGACAATCATTGGAGAACTCAAGGAGTGAGCTTTATTAATATAAAAGCGCTTCAGGACTTTTTCAATGTATGTTGACTGACAGATAAAAATTCTACTTGGTAAATGTTTGATCTGCAGGCCGAGACAAAAGTTTGTTTTACCAAGATCTTTCATTTCGAATTCTTTCTTTAAATAATTAGCAGTCGTGGTGAACTCTTTAGGAGTTCCCACAAATTTAGATCGTCAAAATATACAGCTATAATGGCAAATCCGGATTTTTTGATGAAAATGCATGGATAAACTTGATTATTCACATATCCTTTTTTTAGTAAATACTCGCTGAGTCGATTGTACCACATGCGTCCGGATTATTTCAATCCGTACAAGGATCGTTGTAGCTTGATCGAATACATGGTACTTGGTTTCAAGCTATTTGCTTCAGACATTTTAAATCCTTCAGGGATTTTCATATGTCTATCACTATGTAGTGATCCATATAAATAAGCTGTAACCACGTCCATCAGACGCATATCCAGTGCTTCTGAGACTATCAAACTGATTAAGAAGCAAAATGTGATTGCGTCCATCATATGAGAGTATGTCTCCTTATAATCAATACTAGGTCTCTGTGAGAAACCTTGGGCTGCAAGTCGGGCTTTGTATCTTACAATTTTATTTTTCTCATTATATTTCCTTACAAATACCCATTTGTACCCTACAGGCATGACATCTTCAAGTGTCTGGATTACAGGACCAAATACTTCACGTTTTACTAATGAGTTTAGCTCTGCCTGTATTGCTTATTTCCATTTTGGCCAATCATTTCTACATCGACACTCTTCGATGTTTTGAGGTTCAGGGTCCTCATTAGCACCTGTAATATAAAGAGCAATTGCAAAGGAGAATATATCCCTAATAACAGCTGTATTTCTATTCCACAATTCTCTATAGTTTATTGAGATCTCATTATTTTCAGGTACCAGTGCCTCTTCAGGGGCTTATGCCACTTCCGGGGCATGCATATCTTCTAGGACTACTTGCTTATAAAATTTAGATTGATCAATCATTTTCGTTATTTCTTTTCCAAGTGTGACTTCTTCAGGAGCGCCAAATTCTTTATTTGATTTCTCTTGTGCTTTCCTCTTCCGGGGAACAGTGACTTTTACACCGACTGGTCTACCACGCTTCTGGCGTGTCTTAGATGCATTTGCAATAACACTGACAGACTGTCGTACAAAGACATCAATTCTTGCTGGAATG